TGAAAGTTGAGTTACCGTTCCAAATGTTCAAATTCCGAACATCTTACAACAAACGTACGTATCAGATTCTTTGTGAAAGTTGAGTTACCGTTCCAAATGTTCAAATTCCGAACATCTTACAACAAACGTACGTATCAGATTCTTTGTGAAAGTTGAGTTACCGTTCCAAATGTTCAAATTCCGAACATCTTACAACAAACGTACGTATCAGATTCTTTGTGAAAGTTGAGTTACCGTTCCAAATGTTCAAATTCCGAACATCTTACAACAAACGTACGTATCAGATTATTTGTGAAAGTTGAGTTACCGTTCCAAATGTTCAAATTCCGAACATCTTACAACAATGACCCGAGTCCTGATGTACTTAGAAGCAGGTATATATATATGCATATGATCTCATTGTCATAATTATCCATTAACTACACAACACATGTTTCACATTACGAGTATAACCTACCAGTCATTAGAACAAGTAGATATCTTCCCCACCCACCTTCCATCCACCTATACAACACCTCATACCTTACAGCTCTTGGCGACAAACACCAGGCACGGGTCGACGAGCCAATCAAACAGCGCCAACAACTGAGCGTGCGCGCCGCTCAGATACTCCGGCAGACTCGTCAGCCAGCTCTGCATGAGAGGGCGCCACCCGAGCGTCGTCGGCTCCATGTAGATCATGCCGCATCGGCTGACGGTGGCCGGCGACGCTTGCGACAGGTCCATGCACTCGAAGATCAGACTCATGGTGTTGGACAGCTGGATGATCTCACCACTCATGAGGCACAGCTGTCGGCGACCAAGATGTCAGAATCATCAGTAAGATATATACTATCATTTAAGACTATCATAAGAGAATGATCAGTTAGTCAGCGATGCCACTGTGTCGGCCAGTGTTAGCGATCAGAATCGTGTTCAATGCTAAAAGCATCTCGACTCTTTGTTTTTGCAGGTGGGATGACTTCATATATAGGTGAGGGTTAGGGTGGTTAGGTGGGTATATACAGGGTATCACATGTGGTAGGACAGAGAAGAAGAGCAAAGAGATCGGGGACGGGGAGAGAAGGGGATGAAGAGGGAGTACAATAGGAAGAGAGAGAGAGAGAGAGAGAGAGAAAGCAAGAAAGAGAGAGAGAGCGAGGAGAGGAAGAGAAGGAGAAGGGAGAGGTGAGAGAGAAAAGGGAAAGTGAGAGTAGACGAGTGAGAGAGAGAGAATGGAGAAGGAGAGGGGAAAGGTGAGACGAAAGGGAGAGAGAGAGAGGGAGAGGAAGGGAGAGATTGAGAGAGAGAGAGAGAGTAAGAGAGAAGAGAAAGACATAAAGGAAGAGAGGGAGAGGGAGAGAGAGAGAGAGAGAAGAGAGGCAGAGAGAGACAGACATAAAGGAAGAGAGGGAGACGGTGAGAGAGTCACCTTCTTGTTGTCGTCCAGCACAGTGTTCATGCTCTCGATCCACAGAGTGTCGATCGGACCGTCAAACAGCACCCACTTCCTGTCCGTCGTCTCCGCGGACGCAAACTCACGGAACGTGTTCGCGACGACTCCATCCGTCCACTGTAGTCATCAAAACAAAAGTCATCGGTGGTAATATGACAGTTTATAAAGTGCCGAATTTAACACAGTGACGTCACATGCAGGCAAACGTGTATGAGTACGTACGTATACGTCAGTCATGTGCATGCGTGCGTACGCGCGTATGTATATATGTATGTAGGAATAATATATGTATGTAGGAATAACCTAGTTGACGAGTGGTTCTAAACCGGCCAGGCCTGACATATACCTGTATACATGAGTCAGCGGGTGCAGAGGGAGGGAGTCCGGCTTGTTTAAAAAGATTGAAAAAGTCATACGGGATATAACTCCTATATAGGAGGCTTTTACAGGTACATACACCACACGTGCGCACGCGCGTACACATACACCTACTCAACGCACCTCATGTGAGACGGGGTCGAACTGACCGAACAGCTGACCCATCGTGATGGACTTGGGGTTGATCGTTCTGTAGATGACCTTCTCTTCATCCTGGTCGCGTGAGTTGAGCAGGGAGAGCGTGTCAGCGAGCACACGCAGTACCTGTGTCTTACCTCCAAACGGCTCACCAACCAACATGAAGCTGTAACGAAAGGTCCCATCTCACAATGACGCAGACTATTGGCCTCATATACACACACACACATATATATATATATATATCTGCGAGTGTTACGCGGAGGCAAGCCATACAGGATGCCTACATTCCGTTTTATCATTTACAGACTGGGTTATCGAGTGTACATGCATACCAGAATCGTTTAGACAACATTGGAAGATGAGCGTTTGGCATGAATTAAATTGTTTGAATTGCTTCGTCGTATCGACAACAACAGATATAACAGAGATCACTACTGATAATATCTATACTATTTATTTATCTATCTATATCGTATCTATGTGGGTCTATCGGGTGAGGTCTATCTATCTATCGTAATCGTATCTATCTATCTATCGTACATCTGATCTCATCTATTCTAGTCTAATCTATCTATGTAATCTAGTGTACCGGGTTAATCAAATGTATCGTATGTATCTATCTAACACCTGCATGCCTCACTTCGTCCCACTGTGATCCTGGCAAACCATCTCACAACTCTAGATTCTGAATCAGTTAATTTAAATATCTTAATAAAAGAGTCTAACCCTGCATATCCCCTTACTGCACTATCCTGTTCAAAACATCACACAATACTGACGTATAATAACAGTAATAAAGTAACCCTGCCAGCCTCGCACTATCTGGCAAACATTCACACGATACCGACGTTAATATAGCTATTAAGGTTTAAACTCGCGGCCATTCCCTCGCACTGATCGCAAACATCACACAATACCGACGGTTAAGTAAT